TTTATTTGCCTTACGTAAAAAACATTTGCCTGAGAATGCCGTGCAAAAGTTCAAGAAAGAAGCCATCAACGTGTATCAAAGAGCCATTGCGTACCTAGAAAAGTGGTATAATTTCACCGATTCAGTATATGAGACGCTAAGTTGTTTCAATCTAATTGATCGCAATAATCCTCCAACTTTAGAAGAAATGACGAACATCTGGTTGTTATCACCATGGTGAGAAGAACTTCCACCCAACACTCTCTTCGATGAAATTTCTGCCTTAGAAGAAGTTTATGTTCATCTGCAGAGCGATTCATCCCGTGATAAGTGGATGTACTTTTTCAAGAAAGAGCCAGCTCCGAGTTTACTGAAACTGTTCCAGTATTGTGCATCAATTCCAGTATCAAATGCAAACGTTGAACAAATTTTCAACGTCATGGGAAATTTGTGGACTGACGAATGTAACCGACTGCTTCAACCATCAGTTCGAAGTGAACTTTGTATATTTTTTAATATTTCTCAACATTGTACTGAAATTAAAGAATTAGTCCTTAAACACAAAGAATTGATCAAAGTTGCGCATTCAAATAAAAAATACACACAACAGCAAAGTAAAATGTAATTTAATATTTTACATATTATTATAATATATTTGATGTTTTGAATTTTAAGTAAAGTTTTGAAGTGATTATTTTAATATGTGTTAAAATGTTTGTAAGAAAATATATAATTTAATTGTAAATTTTTTTTATTTTTTTACTACTTAACCACCACCACCCCCGCTTGTCTGCTATTTTTTGGAAGCAGACCTGGCAACTCTACTGTAAACTGAAAGAACTGAAGCATATGAATCATAATCAAAGCTCACCCAACTCAGAACATAACAGCAGATTTTACATAGAGCTACTAAGATATGGATCATTTTATCCAGGCTACTCTGGTCATGGAATTATAGACTTGACAAACTACCCAAGAACTAATGGCATTCCTTACTCTGAGGCTACCTGTCCTTTCAGTGATAAAGATTAGAGGCTATGCACTTTCTCCTTCAGACACTACATACAGTGACAAATCAATACAACTGTCTTAGGAGAAGCATAGTTTATGTCCCTGTTGACAAGTATTTTTACTCTCTAATAATACAATTTTTTTGTATTATTTTTGTATGAAAGTACTTGAAATATCTCTTTTTATACTTACAATTTCAAAACTAAAATAATGTTGCCTAAATTTTTGTTTCTGGTATAAGTTAATATTTGCTTACATAATTAACCTGCATATAACATTTAGATAATTTATATGACAAAGTAGTAAAGCCATCAGATGAATACCATAAATAGTTTTATTTATATAAATAATTTTATTTATGGTACATAAATAATTGTGTATGGTACACAACAAGCTTTATGAGTTAGTATAATCATGCCTTGAATTATCTTGACTGATTAATTTAATTTAATATTTAAATTTATATACCGCCCTTCTCCTGATGAAGTGACCTATACTGAAAAACATTCATGAGACTTGTTAGAAGCATAAAAATATATTCCAGTAAAATATTTGCCTGTTACCTTTCACATATAGCTGATGGTATATAATAATTGTGAATCAGTATTGCCTTGGCAGAAAGTATATTATTAGTAGATAAATGCATAAAGTTTAAGATGTGTAAATAGCAGTAAAAAGATAGTAGCTTATATGGATTGCAAGAAATGAATATTTATCAAAAGAAGGAAAAATGGATGTGTTTTCTTTGTTGGTCTTTTGCTTTATACTGATTTTGGGTGGATTTTTTGGGGTAGGTGGGTTATATTGTTATATTGTTCTTTGTTTTAAAATGCCTGGAATCACAGGGAGTTGAGTGGCAAATGAATTTAATAAATTATAAATTAGGAAAAGAAACGTGTGTAAAAATGAAGCAATATTTTCCACATAGATGTGATTCTTTGCTGTTGGCATCATAAGAATCTGAAGCAGGACAGTAGTTTGAATTTCCCATCTTAATTAATGCACTCATTTTGTAATTTTCTTAAGCGATGACTTCAAATTTACAAATTTACAAGTCAGACTTGTAAAAACTTGTAAAAACATACACATACATCAGAGATGAAATGCTCCCAGTTCGGACCAGATCACCTGATCCAGTAGCGATGGTGGCGGGTGGTTCAGAGAACCGATAGCAAAAATCCCTGCCCTTTTTTCTTTGGCCGAAAAAATGCTTTTAAAAGAAAACAAAAGCCTCTGATGATCAGGCAGCTCAGCCCACATATTCTAATTATATTTTGCTGGAAGGAAATAAGAAACCAATGATCTGATTTACACACATACAGTAGGTTAAGTTCTGCAAGACAAGGTAGAATTGTGTGAATGATAATAATTTTCATTTCCAATCAAAAAGATTTGATCTTATTTCATTAAAGCATGAAAATTATCTTAAAATGGAAACTGAATCCTGAGGCTTTTAACATATAATTATGATTTTCAGAATAATATAAATACATTTTTCTGATAATTTTGTAAAGACCTTTAAAGAGTAAAACTGAGTACACAAAACTGGGTGCAGTTTCAGAGTTAATATGCTTACTGTCATGGTTCTGAGTAATGCTTCCAACCAATTCAAGACTCTGAGGCCTTGGCTTCCTTCCGAATCCGGTTTATTGGGTACATCATATATGCATGGTTAAAGGTGAAACCAACACTGAATAATTCCCATGTTTTTGTTATAATTAAAGAATAGATACTGTCCACCCCCTTTGTGTCATGTTAGCCAACCAAGCAGGTGATGAACTTCTCAGCACTCCCTCTTGCCGTTGCTTGGGCTTGCTGATTTAGCTTTGGTTCTCAGGAGCCTTATCATTGTTATGTCTGGCACATTGGAGGAAAACATTCTACATTCCATAAGTCCCCCTCCCCTCCCCATAAGTTGCCATAAGTATGGCAACTAAGAAACAAAGCAAGAAATATATGGCTTCAGCTAGAGTCATTTTGAGAGTTGACACAACTATGCTGTTCATACCACCAGCCTTTGTGCTCAGTTTGATGAATCAATTTCTAACCCATTTTATCAATTTAAATATGGTCTGTTTTTAATAAATGGATGAAAACTAATAATTAATAGTCAAATCCCAAACATTAAAATCTGCTGCCTAGTAATAAAAAAGTAGGCAAAATTTAGCAAACAAAAATTATCAATTTAAACATTGAGTGTGTCAAAAGATACTTTTATTATGTTAGTTCAATATTTGTTTCAAATGAACTGATGAAAAACTGTTTTCCAGAATTTTTCCTAATGTTACAATAATTGGAAGTTAATAGTCTTGGTTGTTTCAAAAATAACAAATGTGAGGTTTCATTAATATCCAGATTCTGCTTTGTGGCTAGATTTTGCTGCATTTCTATTCCTTCTAAACATGAATATTGGCAAAATGGGGTACTTCCATATGCACAATTATTGTTTCCTTTTCTGTATTCACATATATAAATCTAGATGATATACAATTTTGTGTTCCCTGAAACTTTCCCTACAGTCACAATACTTGTTTTCAGTATCGAAAGCCAAAGAAGATACAGGAAGCTTTAGAATTCCTTTCAGATCTTGTTAGTGTAAATGAAATGTTAAAACATAGTGGTTGAAAATGTTGTTGATGCTTTGGTCTGTGTTGTATTAGAGATGTCTCATTGTTCTGCAATCATGCTGGCTGAGTACTCTTCTTGATCAGAAAAAGTTTGAGTGGAAGAATGCCTCTTTTCAAAGTTTAATTGAAATGTGAGAAGTCAGAAAAGTTGCAGACTGCTGAAGCAATACTGTTAATACATAATTCATCGTTGCTGTGAGTTGGACATACAAGATGAATGGATGAAAATGAATGAATGAATGAATGAATGAATGAATCAATCAATCAATCAATCAATCAATCAATCAATGATGGAGTCTTCTATCACACCCACAGACATTTAGGGTGATCTCCTAGTTAGTTAAAAAACATCAGAATCTGAATTCAACCCTGCAACTATTAAAAGCAATTATCTTATCATAAAACTGAATGAGAATTGCCGCCCCCCCCCAAAAAAAAATTGAAGACAGATTTGGTAGAACATTACTAGAAATAAATGTACAAGTAACAAATTTTAGATCAATTCTACTCTTTTTAGTCAACTTCTGTGTTCAAGATAGGAATGTACATGTAATGAATAACCTTCATTTTTGCAAAGATTTGTTGGGAATTACATATATACTGTATAACAACCAAACATGAACACACAGACACCAGCTGCCATCCCAATTTCTTTCTAGAGTCTAGCTTTCACAATTGTCAAGTTAAGAAATGTTCCATATCCTACCTCAACATATTGCTGCCTCAGTATTTGGCAGTGAGATACTATAGATATGGAAGAAAATATTCAACTATATTATAATTTTTTGCTGTATAATTCTAATAATAGCTAACTGCATGGGAATACCACTTTCTTCAAACAAGAGGAACATTCCAAAAATAAATTAATACTGTCTAGGAAGGCACAGATGAATATTATTGCCTTAAAAGTCTGATCCGCAAACTGATTTAGACTTCAATTGTATTATGCTGAAGTCATTTAAATATAATACTATGGACCATAATTCAGTATGGACTCCCATTGATTGCAATCTCATTACAATTAACTTTGTTCAATTGAGCTATGCATTCTTCTTTTTAAGAAGTATAATTTCCTTCTTATATGTACATCTATATGAACATTTCCATTCCTCAATGGAATAAGATTTTACCACAATATTACTTAAGTAAACTGTTTATACATTGTTTAAAAGTTTTAATTTGTAAGTCACTGAGTGGGAAAAAGGGTCTTTATGATTTTGAATAATATACTTTTAAATAATTAAAAGTAATTTTAAACCTAACCAGCATTCTTTAGATACGTATATAAAGTATATTATAAGAGGTAAACTCTTTGCAACTCTTAAAGTTCTTTGTCATCAAAAACCAATAAAATACTTCAAATATGTCTTGTTTTTGCTTTAGGGAACAGCCTTGGAGAACTAGAAAATGAATGTTCCAGTTCCTCACTTAATTATCTTCTATGCAAGTCTTGTTCAATGTTTGAAGGTTGTGACCAAAAGGGGTTCAGGTAAGAAGATTGTTTTTCATTTTGTCAGAATGTATGGAAATGAAATTGCATATACAGTATATATATATAAATATATGTGTTTGAATGTGCATTTTGATTATATCAAAGCAAAAAAGTAGTTTTTCATGAAACAAAATATCCTTCTTACATTTGTTTTACATATACTATTAAACATGATCTGTTAGAAATAATTTTCAGTTGGTTCATCAATGGCAAAGGATTAGATTCTACTTCATGCTTACAACAGACCTACATAAATTAAAAAATGATAAGCAAAATCAAATTGATTTTAGTAGTGCTCTAATTGAGCATAAATCTTGATACTAATATTATAGATTATAGATAGAAAAAAAACAACCCAAAACCTGTCTATGATATATAGTTGTGGTGATGATGTACGAATTTCCCATTGAAGTAAAAGATTCAGTTTTGCATATGTGGTCCATAATATACTTGATGTTTGTTCTCATTAAGTAGGAAGTGTTAAAATGCATGATTATTCATTTAATGTTACTAGGATTGCATATTTAGTTTTTTATGTGCTGCTTGCAAATTTTGTATTTAGTTGGTTGTTCAATCACATGGTGGATTCAACTATAGCTTTAATATATTTTTCGGCATAGATCTAGCAATGGAATTTTGTTTTTGTTTTTTAAAGTACAATATATATTGTAGAAATATGCTTAATTCTTAGCATGGTTTTCTAATATTCATATCAGAAAATGCTGCTGAAGGAAGAGATCTTGTGGATAGCTATATATTTAATTTTCATATTAGGATTTATAATAGGGATTCTTATTTTGTAGCAAATTTGCTTGTTTTTCAGGTAACTTCACTTAAAGGTTAAGTGAAGAATAATTTAAAGGTTGTTATTCTAGACAGCTGCTTTTTGAAAGAAAGTGTACCAGAGGTATTAATGTCAGCAGGTTAGCATTTATATACTTCCTGTTATGCATATAAAAGGATGTGTTATGTCCAAAATAGCCAATGTCATTGCTAATCATTTTGATGAAATAACGATAGGCGACTTTCTTGTTATACAGATATAACTATATTTGATTAATATCTTCATGGAAGATATTTTTAATATTACTTGATATTTTGTACAAAGAAAACTTTTGAAATATAAGCTGGGAAAGAATAAAACTAATTAAACATGAATGGAGGAAAACTAAAAGAAAAGGAATTAAAAGTATAATAATATGATATGGTATCTATATATTAGAAAAATGGTATGGCCATTGTTATATCATGAAACTATATACCATTTTATTCCATCTTCTATTGAATTATGTTCAACTGTACCAAATTGAATTACATACAGTTGTGCACTTTGAAAAAGTTTACATTGAATTATAATCAGCATACATTTTAATAGCAAATTTAGTTTTAGAAATATTTAACTTGATTTTTGAAGGTAATTAAGAAAAAAGTGACCTTTTTTATCATTTGTGAAGGACTTTGTACTGGACCGACTTCATGCATTTTCTCCTTAGCTTTCATTTTAGTTGTATCTCTGTTGATCAAACTATATTAATTTCACATATATTTTAATTCCTGTAGTTATTTTCAATTGTTGAAGAATTTAATCAGAGAGCATTAAAAAATATTCCAGCATTGTCCAGCTTCTGTAATGATGTGCGCACTTGCAAATCCATTCATGGGGATAATATGCATTGGTCCTTCTGGCTCCCTCAGGTGGAGTTCCTTACTTCTATTATTGTACATTTCCAGAATTCTTCTATGAGTCTTGGTTATTGCTACCTTCCTATCTTTTATTCAAAAAGAAATTACTTTTAAAAAGCTGGTCCCAGGATTCTTGTTTTTCTGTAGATAGGAAAGTATCTTGCTGGTATGGTAGTCACATTCCGTGTTAGAATGAGATTGTAATTTTAGAAGATATTCAAGTTATCAATAATGCAAATTACAATTAGGAAGTAATTGAGAGTTAAAGATGGGACAGAGAGTTAAAGAAAATGGGACAGAGAAAAATATCATAAATCCTGCAGATTTAACATACAGTTTATCTTACAAAATATAATAAGTATCCATCCACACAGACAATAAAGGAAAGACAAAATAGGACTGAGATGCAGTTCAACCCTTAATATCAATTTTAAAATTATACTAATTCTAGTTCACATTTGCCTTAATGGTTATTTCTTTCTTATTCTCAAACCTTCCTTAAGATTGATGTGCTGTACTTAGCTGGTGGGAACCAGATTTTTTTTAAAAAAAGGATGCCTTTTGAAAGATAAAGTTTGAAAGTAGTTTGAAAGATAAAAGAATAAAAGTGAAATTAAGCTACTCCCCCCCCCTTTAAAACGTTATCAGAGATAATTGGCATACCTATTTCTGACTAGTTGCTCATAGCAAGAATACTTCCCACACTTTGTTAATCTCTGGTTTACTATCTAGATTGTAAATATATATTTAAATCTTTTGGGATGTTTTTCCCATCTTCATGCAACTCAAAAGGACAAGTCAATTTAGACACCCAAGAATTCTTGTGTTAAAATGTTTGTATTTATAGGTATCATGGGATTTATTTATTTATTTGTCAAGAACGTATTAGGTAATAAGTATAAACATGGATTGGAAACATAAAGTAGATACAAATAGAGGAAACATTTAGGACAGGGACGGTAGGCACACTGGTGCTCTTATGCATGCCCCTTACAGCCCTCTTAGGAATGGGGTGAGGTCAACAGTAGACAGTCTTAGGTTAAAATTTTGGGGTTTGGGGATGAAACCACAGAGTCAGGTAGTGTATTCCAAGCATTGACCACCCTGTTGCTTAAGTCATATTTTCTGCAATTGAGTTTGGAGATACAAACTTTAACTTTGTATCTATTGTGGGCTCGTGTATTGTTGTGGTTGAAGCTGAAGTAGTCATTGACACATAGGACATTGTAGCAGATAATTTTATGAGCTACGCTTAGGTCATACCGAAGGCAGCATAGTTCTAAGTTTTCTAAGCCCAGAATTTCAAGTCTGGTGGCATAAGGTATTTTGTTGTGAGCAGAGGAGTGGAGGACTCTTCATGTGAAATATTTCTGGATACGTTCAATTGTATTAATGTCTGACATGTAATTCTGGCACTTTGGGATAGAGATTACTTCCTTACAGATATTTTTGTAAAAACTGCCTCAGAGCAGCCATCACCTACATAAAGTAAATATACTTACAAGTTCCTAGAGTTAGACTCAGGATTTGTTTTTGTTTTTTTGCTGAAGAAACATTAGGATGTATAATGTTGAATGAATAATTAAAGAATGACATGTATCTATGTCATATATAAAGAATGATATATATGCCTTCTAGAAGTATAAAAAACAAGTTTTAGCTTAAAAAGTTATTCATTCTGCCTGAAATTCTTCATGATTTTGTTATTAAAAAACCAAACCTACAATACATCTATCTCTAGTTAGCTGTCTTGAATATCTGAAAAGTCCCAGCCTTGTCTTAGTACCTGTATCTCTGTTATGTGATAACTTAAAAGAAAATTTATTTACTTATTTCTTGATTTCTTCATCAAATGATTAGTATATTTGCCTATATGAGCCAAAACTGTAGAAAAATGTAGTCTAATGTGACATTTCTATTTTTCTGCTTCACTTTTATTTCATAAAAACTGAAGTTCTTTGAAGCAATTCAGAACACACTCTTTGTTTATTCAAAAACAGAAAACGTTGGTTCCTTCTCTGTTAGGGTAATGGGGGTGTTTTGGAATGAAGATAAAACAAAATATAATTGGATACATTTCTGCACTTTATTTAATATTGAAGTTTATTGTTATTAAACAGAGTCACATTATACTTTGGGGACAAATATGAGATAAAATTGTGCATTCGTGTCTGTGTATTTTTAATTAAACTGTAATACACTTCCTAACAAAATAATAAAGTATCATGTGTAGTCCAAAGGTATCGGCACAATATCTATGCTCCCATGGGGTACTGTGCTCTCAAAGGGTCCTGTTCTCATATTAACAAAAACCACTATTCTATATTTGCTACCCATTGCCATAACAATTCTGGAGACCATGTCTACTTTTAGTGCCATATTAAAAATATTTCCATATCATCTTTGTGAAATAAAAGCATTTTATCGTTTTTTCCCTTTGCTGAAGAAGAAGTAAAGAAAAAAAAAGGATTCAGTTGTGGCTTTGTTGACGAATGAAATCAGCATTTCTTTTCAAAGTGGAAGTGCTATTATACATTTGTCCTGACAGAAATGAATGTTAGAACTGGATTTGAAAGCATAAAACTTGTTTAGAACTATTTTATATTTACAGTATTTTTTTTTGAATGAAATACATTGAAACAAGACAAATCTGTACCTGAGAAAAAAGGAAAAAGCAACAAGAGAAATTTCAGCTATTTCACAGAAGTCTTTACCTTTAATTGCAATAAGCAGATTTATTACATCATCATCGTCTCTATGGTAGAATAATATTACCGCCAGTGTTTCTACACTGGAAATTTTTCACGATTGTTTTAATCGGTAGCATTTACTGGGATTCTGTTTTACTTCCTGGCCTTGCTGATTAGGGCTGAAATAATTATATTTCTTTGGAAAGAAGATCTCTGAATTTGTGTCTCTTGGCATTCATTATTTCTTCATATTAATCATGAGTATTTACTGAGGAGTTAGTTCCTTAATATTCTATAGAACTTGGAGTGCATATTGGGCATTGCTAATTGTGTTGTGAGGAGGACTTATTCTCAGTAGATCAGCACCAACATACATTGATGTCAACAAAATTTTCCTATATGAGTTCAATAAATGTGAATTCCTATACTGAACTTGTTTGTAGAGAGGCTGTTTAATAATCTCTTGAAAGAAAATGTTCTTCATGATAATTTTCTCTGTGTATATTCTATACTCAAGAGTAATGTAACATGTAAGTGATTATTTTACTTGGATTAATTTGTGATGTTTGCTTCTCCCCTTTTCCATGTCTTTCTCTTTTCACAGATAAACTCTTCATCAATTAC